AACTTATAATTTTTAGATGATAATTTTTTATATTTTAATTTATTAAATTGTAAAAATTTGACAAAATTAATAATATTTCATTTATTATTACTTGTTTTTTTTTTTTTTAGTAGAAACCCTATTTATTTTTCTTTTTTTTTTATTACCACATTTATTTAGTAAATTAACATTTTTAGTGGTTTTTCTAATTTTAATTTACTAACTGATTTTAAGTAATTAAATGTCTTAAAAAAAAAAGAAAAATTACAAAAAAAAAACTTTTTATTTTTGTATGAAATTAAAAAATTTTCATGGTTATTCTTATCAAACTATTTTTTTTTTTATAAGTATATATTTTCAATTTAATTGAATTTTCTTATGTGTTGTTTTTTTTTATAAATAATTTAGACATTAAATTTTATATTATATAAGTATAATAACCTAAGTAATACAAATTTATTTGTAACAATATTATATTATAATTATAATATAATAATTATACATATATATTTCTATTTATTATAAACATTATTATAATTATGTACGAATTTTATATACAATGTATAAATTAGTTTTAGCGACATATTTTCTAGATAACATAATAACTTTTTTTTTGTTTTTTTTTAGATCATATTTTTTTACACCCTGTGGTTTAATAAAATAAAAATCTTGTTAGATTTAAAAATTTAAACATTTCGTTTTCCGGATCTATTTAAACCATAGATCGTTAATTGTTCCAAGGATAAATTACTTATTTTGTATAAAGTTAATTTTACTTTTTTATTTTTTATTTAATGGAGGATTACTTATTTTAAGTATTTGACTAATATGTTTTATAAGACACTACAGCATCGCTAATTTACTTTGCATTTGATTTTTTTTTGGTTTTCTAATTAATAATATGAATATATCTTCTTTGAAATAGGGACTTAATTATTTTGTTGTAAATAGAAAAGATTTGAAACTCTTCCCTTTGTTTCCGTCAAATACTTAATTCTTAAAATTTATTAAATCTATAAAAAAAAAAGTATTAAGAGAATCTTTGATTTAAAATCAATTGTGAATTGTTACTAATTTTTTTTTTATTTGTAGTGTTTTAATTCATTTAGAATTATGTAGTACATAGTTACAATTAAATTAGTGATTAGTATTGCATAATAATATTTTAGTATTTGTAATTATTAATATAATATAAATAATAACCACAAAATAAAAAAAATTAATATAAAATTATAAATTACAAGTCACACTATATAATAAAATAGAATAAAATTAGAAAATTAAATTGATCGTGGGAGTTAAAAAAACAGAATGACGAAGTCTCATTCTAATTCGGAGTAAAAGCCGACCGGAACCCGAAACCCGTAACCACTTTAAAACAAACCTCGAATGAAATTTTATGTAAAGAATTATTGTATATTTTTTAATATCTACATAAATAACGAAATAAGGATGAAATTTCAGATGCATATAGACGTATACTAATAAATAATTTTCTATACCAATACAGAAAGTTAAAAACAAAAAAAAAAATAAATAAAAAAAGTATTAAAAAACAATAATAAAAATAAAAACTCAATATTTTCAAAATGATAATTTTTTTTTTATTAATTTATATCATACAATTATTTATAATAATATTTTTTTAAAATAAGCTCTAATCGACTTAACTAAAAAAAAAAAATGAAAAAAGTTTTTCTTGCAACAACTTAAAACACCCTTAAAAATTTTAAATAACATAATTTAGGAAAAATAAAATAATATTATTAAATAAACTATTACAAAAATAAAAAAATATTAATTTAACATTAAAACAAATACAGATCATTTTATATTATATGTGTAACATAATAATTATACAATACATTTTTAATTATTATTATTATTATTATTATTATTATTATTACTTATTTAAAATGAAAAAAAAAATTAAACTAAATTATATAATAAATTTATTAAAAATAATACAAAAAAGTAATAATCATTTTAAATTAATAATAAAATTATAGTAATCACCTATTAATTGTATTTATATTTTAATATATATAATTTTGATAAAAAAAATAATTTCTCATATTAACTTTGTACAAAATATACTTATATAAAAAAAAAAACTTTTGTTTTGTAAGAAATATATAATATATTCCAATTAAAATGATGATATACTTTTATTGAATTCTAAATGATAAAGCCACAAAAATATATTATATAACATACTTATAAATATGAAATAAAATCAATTTTAAAATATTTTTGCTAAAAAAAAATATTGTTTTTTTTTTTATATGTGTATAATATTTTATATAATTATTTCTGATCGCATAATTAATAATTAAATAAATAATATATTTTTATATATTCTTTTTAAACTTAAAATATTACATGAATGTGATTACTTAAATTATTATAAAATTAAAGTATAATATTAATTAAATTTAAAATAAAAACCTTTGGTACTTGGTAATTTCAGATTTTAATGTATACATAAGATATTATATATATATATATATATATATATACATATACGATTTAAAAAAAGAGAAATATTTGCATATATTGTTTATATACATTTAATTAGGATTAAATTAAATTTTTTTATATATTATGCATAATAATAATATTATTAATGTATAATTAAATTAATGCTCAATTTATAAATGGAACTTATATATTTGAATAATCTCAAAAAAGAGTCTGCTGAAAGTATTTTAGAAATTATTATACATAATTAACGATATTATTATTTTGAATTTTATAATTATTGTTTGTATTGATCTTTCTTGTTTTGAATTACTTGTTTAATTTCAGAAAAATAAATGTTTTTGTTATATTTTATCATAACTCTCATAATAAAAATTTTTTTAATTTGTTTCAATCAAATTTTTTGTATATACTTAATTGTTTCTAATATTATATTTTTTCTTCTAACAATTTAATAATAATAACAAATGATTGCTTTAGCCCTTGCATAATTTTCCAAATATAATTTTATACTTTAAAATGTTAAGGGTTTCAAATATTTTGAGCATAATGAAAGCCAATAAAAAAATATTGCTATAAAATTTAAAAAAAAAAAAACGAATCTTATATAATACTTGTATTAAAATATAATTTATATAGTTTTTATATATATAAATTTGTTACTGACAAAGACGTATATATGCATAATCATTTATATTAATATTTTGAAATGAATCAATTTATTATTATATCAAATCAAATTATCAAATACCAAAAATTTTTTAATTAAAATAAAAATAATCTTAAAAAAAAGTATATGTATATATTATATGTATATGTGTCAAGAAATATATGTATGTATATATAAAAAAAAAAAAAAGTATATTTTGAAATATAAAATAAATTAAATGTGTGTTCACTTCTTACATTTTGTACATTATATTATTATAATAATACAATAATGATAAAATGGGGTTTTGTTTATTTTTTTGCTGTTTTGATTTTTGAGCTCCTGTTTTTTTTTTTTTAAGATATAAAAATCTTGTTATCAAATTGATGTTGAACATTTTATGCTCGCACATTTTTTTTTTGTTTTAGTACTTGCATGTAAGTACATAAGATTGTAATTGTTGTTTGAAGTTTCTCAAACACTTGATACAGGGCATACTTTTTTTACAATTATGAATTTTTGTAGTTGCAGGAAAAATACTAACATCTTATGATACTTTTTTTTTTTTTATTTTTTTTTTTTATTTTTATCATTACTGTTTTGTTTTTATATATACTTTTAAAAATACTAATTTTATATATGAATTTATAAATATTATACTTAATGAACTTTCTGCTGTATTTTATTTTAGATTTAATATATAATTTACTAATTTATTTTTTATATATATATTTAATTTATATCTACATAATTATTCTTAATTCTAGTTTTACGTGTAAAAGTCCTACTACAATAAAGAAGGAGAAATAATTAAAAAAAAAAAATTTTTTTTTTAAATATAAATAATTTATAGTTGTGAAAATTTTTATTTATTTATTTTTTCTTTCACTATTATCTATTATATGATAATTCAGTTATTATTATGTAATTTAGTTTCAAATAATAATATACACATGTTATTTGTATAGAAATATAATATTATGATATTGTATATTTATAAATATTTGTCTATGTACATTTTGGTATATATATATATAAATATATATAAATATGTATTATTTTTGTGAATTGTATTCTAATGTACAAACAATCAAAAGTTATTTTTTACTTACTTTTTGTAAGTTTATAATATTTATGTTTTTTTTATTTATACAAACACACAAAGATTTTTATCTAATTAATTGAACTAAATTGTTTTCCATAATACGTAATGAAAAATTGTTTATGTATGATTTTAAATTTATATATATATATATATATATATATAGATAAAATTATATCAATTTAAAATTAAATAATAATATTATATGTAATTTATTTTAATGATAAAAATGTGTAAGAACAAATATTCTATTTTACTTACTAGATTTATTTTTATGTACTTTTTTTTTTCTTTGAGCTTTTTAAACTTTTGTTTACTTTTATTTTTAATTAATTTGGATTTGCAATAAAAAAAAAAAAATTATGAAAAAATAATTTAAAATTTTGTAGTATCTAATTAAATTTAATATGAAATTATTTAAGAATGTTTGAAAATTCGATTATATATGAAACGAAATATAATTATTTTGAACTAGATATATTTAAAGCAATAAAAAAAAAAGAAAATAACTTTTATTCAATGTGTATATTGAATTTGTAATAACACGAAATTCTTTTTTTGATAAAATGCGTGTCCAACGAAAAAAAAAAAGAAAAAAAAAAATTAAATAAAAATTTTAAGTGGTATAATTTAATGGGAATATTCATTCTCGTAGTTTGAAAATTTTAATATCTTTTTGATTTTGCTTAAAATCTAATCTAAAAAAAACTTTACAAGTATTTTATTTAACTGATTTTTTTTTAATACAATTACATAATGTGCTTAAGCAAAACATTATTTACAATATTTTGTTAATGTAACGTTACTATTCAACGGAAAACTTTTATATTCTTCTATTTTTCTACAAAGTTTTTAACCTTTTAAATCTGATAATATTTTTTTTTTAATACATCTATGTATTTTATATAAAAGTTGCTCTTTAATCTCAATGTTTTTATTATGTTTTATAGATCTATTTAAATTATTGATAATTCTCTAATAATAATTTAAACTTTTTATTTATATACAAAACATCTTTTAATTTATTAAAAAAAAGTTAGTTATTTTTGATTTCTTATATTTATCTTTTACATTTTACGTACAAATTCTAATATCACAGACATGGTAGAGTTTAGAGTTTTATTTCGATATAGGTTTCTATTGTATTTTTTAAATGACGTTATTTTATCTTCTATATACATATATAAATATTGCAAATAAACGATTTCATTTATATTTGGCGCCTATTATTTGTTTTTATAATATTTTAAATATAAAATTTTTGAGCATTTTCATTAACCCCTTACAAAACAATTAAATATAAAAGAATTTTTCTTAAATTTTAATTTTTTTAAAACTTTTACATTTTACAGAAAACGTTTAAGTTAAAGCAGCTGTCATATGATATAATTGCATTAAAACTTGCACATGTATGGGCAAACATGATAATCTATCATGTGTATTTGAATCTATTGCTAGCCAAGATAGAACATTATAACCCTCTAGCACATATCGTAATACATCAGCGGTTAATCCTGAATCTAATGGATGGTCGTTTGCTGAAGTATGATTTTGTGTTAATGGATCTTCTGTATTGTTTTGTACGTTTGGAACATGTAAATGCAAAGCTGTTTTTAAGAATACTGGACATACATCTTCTAAATGTGGACAAGATGACCAAAACCACGATGGCATACGTCCAGTTGGTGCTGTTGATACAAAATAACCTACTGCAAGGGGTTGTTGAAGCACGGCACCAACCTAAAATTTTAACAATTATTAATTTAATAAGTATTAAAAAAAAAGTTTCACGATAAAAAGCATTACCTCTTCCATGTCTTGTGCATCTAATATATTACAATTAGAATTAAACATGTTACCACTTGGACTCTGCCTACTACGATTATCTTCGATACGTCCAGGACTTCCGTGATTTGAGTTTCTCTCAGGAAGTTCTATTACAAAATAAAAGTTAAGTATTAATTTATACTACTACAACAATGTTGATACAGAAATATTAAAATGTTAAGAAATAAAAAAAACTTACGATCCCAGTCCATGAAATCTCCACCTAATTCACCTAAATCTTCTTGCGGATCATCACCAAAATCAAAAATAAAATTGTTGTCATTGTCAAAAGCCTCAGATTCATTCAATTCATTAAATGCTTTTTGAAATGACTAAAATGTTAAAAAAGATAATAACATATTTCTTATTATAATGTATATGCATTTGTAAAAAAAATGTTTACCTGACAAACGGCGCTTGTCGGAAATACCAATATATGTGTACAAGTTACATCTTGTGGAGTAGATAACGGATTTTGCATAGATATTTGACTAAAACGTTCGTCTGGGGTAAATTGATCAGGCATTATTCTTAATTTCGAGTCTGGTTCCAATGTAACTAAACAAGCACTCAAAATACTTGCAACTGCATTCGGATACATGAGACTACATTGCTTACATAAATCTTTTAATTGTTTTGATACTTTTTGTAAGTTTTGTTTGCTTAACAACCACGACCATGATTTCAGTTCACCATGACCTATGCGACCAATTCGCCCTATAACAAGCCGCCACGGTATAGTAGTCTGCGACACAACACCCACAATGAAGTCCATTAATTTTTTCAAACCCAATCTTCTTGCGGATTCTATTCCCCGTTTTCTTTTCGTTCTATTGGGAATGTCAATATTAATAGTTATAGTTTCAAGCAACTCTCCACGATCATCTGTTGCTGTGGCTAATAGCCAGCATTGGTCTTCTGATATACAGTAATTACAATACATAACTGAATATTGCTGATCAGTTTGTTTGGACCGAAAAGAATCAGACTTTTCTGATTTTTCATGTGTTGACGCCAATACATATGGCGGTGTATACATCTTGTATGGAATTCTATTTCTTTCATCTTTCGTTTTCAAAAATATTTCCATGTTAGCAGCAGTGCCAAAACCCGTTAAACTTTTGGCTGTATTTGAATGTTGCAAGAATCTTTTGCATTGAGAAAACACACTTAAGGCGAAATTTTTTATTTCATCACTTAGTTTTAAACGATTTCGATTTCTTCCCAGTTCTAAAATAGCTTCTAGTGAAACGATTTGTAAACTTATATTGTGTCTAATCGATTCAGGTAAAGTATTTAATAGCTCAGAATAAATACGCAAAAGTGTTAGACATGCTATGCGCTGTAAATCTGTAGAGTCATTGCCAGAAGTGAAAGGTTCAACAATATATAAAACAATAACTGGAGGATTAATATCTTCATCAGCCTTGTATGATGAACTATGTCGAAGTGGATCACTTAAAGGTAAATTAGTGTTAGAAGAACTGTTTGTACTATCACACTCTTCTAATTTAATATTTGATGCTCTATCCACTGATATATTACTCCCATGGTGAGCTAACGGTTGCATAGTTAAATTAGTACTCGATTGTACAGGATCTATCATATTCGGTGGCGGCATTGGATTTGACATGGGTCGATCTCTTTGATTGTGCGTATGAGAGTGTCTTTCGTTTTCTGGTGGATCCAGAAGAGTTTTATCAGCAGGAACCCTTTGTAAATATGGTCCAACTAAATTCTGCAATGCATGTGAATACATTCTAATACGGTCTGCCAATTTTACATCAGACATTGATTGTAACCATTCCTCTATTGAAGCATTAGTGTTCGAAGTGTTTGAAAAATTCTCATTTCGTGTTTTTTGGCCAACTTGCAAAATTCCGTCCCAGCCTAAAAATTTTAAAGCAATGTAAAAAATTGTTATATAATATAAGTATTGCGTATTTACCTTTGATTGGCGTATGCCGCCCTAATCTACACATTTCGTACGTAGTGCTCAATTCCTTAAACCAAATTTTTGTTTTATTGAAAATAAAATCGTTCTCTGGTGCTATAACTAAATATACAACATCTCTTGAATATGAATATGGTTCTAGTAATAGTTTATCCCAATAGTGAATAGCATATGGAGCAACAGCAAGCCAATCCTTTTCATGTCCAACTACTATTGATGGAATCGGTTGTGGTTCACATTGTCCGGTTCCTCTCCCTGCTAATCGATGGAATTGTCGCCATGTCAATGGACCTTTCACCGTATAAGTAGCAGCTTCCCTTCTAGGGCGGCATTTTGAATTATGGAATGCATTTTGTAGTAACGGTTGCATAGATTTCATTAGACGGACAATATCTTGATTATTTTTTGAACTATTCGCTAGAATGTAAGGCCATTTATGAACGGTAATAGAGGTTTTCTGTAAAACACTTGTGCGCCTTAATTGATATTGTTCTAGCATATTACTGCCTTCACTATTTGAATTTTCGAAAAACATCCGACCTTGTTCAACAGCTAAACAACAAACATCATTTGCATCAACGAATTCCAAAATATTTAATGCATCTGTTATTTCCGTGCCAGTATCGGTTCTGTTAACTGCTTGTTTTTTACGCCGCACATATTGTTCTTGTGAACATCTTTGTAGGGCACGCTGTATTGAACTTGTTGAAGTAGGTATAATAGAGCACTGATCACGTAATAAATCCATAACAGTTTGCGGTAAAATTTCCAGTATTTTAGGATTTTCTTTTTTAATTGCAGTTTCTGAACTTTCTTTGGTACCACTTTGGATAAATAATTTTAAAATAGATTTCTTTTTGTATTTAATTGGATCTTCTGCTAATCCAGTAATTTCCATTTCATCTTCATAAAAAAGACCTGATCTATAAGCAAGACGTCGATTTACTATGGCGCTAAAACCACACGAACACCTTATTTGATCTTCGTCTATATAACCAGTTAAATGTTGATTGTTTCCACTGCTGTTACTATTGGTACTTGATTGGCTGTTGGTTCCACATGAAGGTGAATCAATACCGAAGGCACTTAAGTTATTGCTACTTCTTGTCAATGCATTTGTTTTAGTATTATCATTATTAGAACCTTTTCCACTAATTGCTCCCAAAAGTAATTTATTTGATGACATTAAATTCAGAATTGCACTTAAAGAATTTCCACCATTAACGGCTGCTGGATTAAACGACGATCCCGGAAGAGCTACATATATTCCAGAATCAGAACCACGAATATTTCCAACACATTGTTGAGTTGCATTACAAACACAAAGTGTGCAACTATCAAAGTTATGATCGCGAAAAACATTTAAAGCAGTGTCGTACAAAAGTACATTTATTAACAGAGAATTAGCCTCGGGTGAGTTGTTTGAATTATTGTTAAAACCATTTTCATTAGCACCACCTATTGTGGGTCCACCACATTCCATTTGTGACATAGGAGTTCTTGGTTCTTGTGAGTTAAATTGTTTATAAGATGAAGTAGATGTTGCAGGACTGGCTATCGCTACATCATATGGTGGAGGGGGATGAATAGGTGTTCTACGTTGACTCATCGGGCTATTTGATATAAAGTTAGCAGGTACACCTGGCGGAGCAGGTGATATAGGTGACATTCCTGGTCGGAGCATATTAACTGGAGTTGGAGGTCTATAATTCAATTGATTCACTAGTAAAGGGTTTGCGGCGACAGCATTAGAGGTTTGATGTATTGGGGTCAGTTTTCCCGGTGAAGATAGATTTGGATCAGTTATTTGATTTAGATTATTCAATGAATTTACGCTGGGATTTGGATTATTAATTTGACCACTTGCAATAATACTGTTCGTCGGAGTCCGAGGCTGTTGTAAAGCTTGCGCTAAATGATCTGTTTGTGGTTGCGTTTGTAAGTTTTGTTGGAGCGGAGGCTGTTGTTGTGGCTGTTGTTGTTGAATTTGCTGGGACTGTTGCTGCTGTTGTTGTTGTTGTTGCATCTGTTGTTGCAAGTGCATTTGTTGTTGTTGCCTTTGCGCTTGTTGTTGTGACCAAGATGGTTTATAAACAATATTTGACGAGCTTATTGGAGGCAGTGATTGACTGGGTAAATTTGTTAAAGGCGCATATTTTGTTGATCCAACAATTTTACAAAAAGTATCAGGCATATATACGTACGACCAATCTTCAATTGGCTCTTCAGCTGGGCTACCCAAATCCGAGTATATATCTTGTTTAACCTTAATACTTAAATTTTGTTGTCCCTGAATTATACTAGAATTTCCGGTCGTACCAGTAGTTGTTATCATAGTACTTAAAAGTGTTACATTAGCTACCATATTGTTAATAAGTCCAGAATCGTTTATATCTGTTATAGGAATGTCCATCAAACCACCACCACTCATAGGACTAGAATTTGGATGATGTTCGTGGCTTGGTGGGGTAGGAAACATTTTGGAAAGTTCCTCCGGTCTTAAGATTCCTGCACCAGTATTTGAATTCAAAGAACGTTTAATATCTTCAGTATTGTTGCACCCATTCATTGAGGCATTAGAATCGGGTGGAGTATGTACTTGAATTGTTGTCTCATCATTTGAATTTTCCCCAGAGTTTTCAATTCCTGAATTTTCTCCAGAAATATCTTCAGGGTTATCAAATAAATCATCTAAGTCACCAGGTGAAACTTGAAGTCCTTGTTCAGTATATAAATTTCCTGTTGAAGAGTTTTTGCTCTTTCCAACTGAATCTGTCATTCCTTTCTTTTTGGTGTCATGATGATGATGTAAATTACCCGATGCTATTAAATTATTTGAAAATGATTCAGTTTCAGAATAGTTATGCATGTTGGTGTTTTCATAATCATTCGTAATCTCCTTTTTAATATTTTTCGCAATGTAATTATAAGATAATGAATTTGGTGATAGCATTGGCGGCGGTTGCTGATGTGTATGTGATTCATACAAGTTCCGACCTCTTTTTCTATTAGGTTTAGTATCATCTGAATTTGGTCGAAAACGTTTTACTGGATGATCCATCCTAAAAATAATTTTGAACAAAAAAAATTTTAATATATAATAAAGTTTTAAACTTGAATTTTAATAAAATATACATACCATGCATTCAGTGTTGTATAATCGTAAAGTAATTGATGAGTGTAATCATCATCTAGAGAACTATCAAATTCTTTAATGGTTAATTTTGGTCGTTTAAATAAAGAATAAAAGCTTTCCTCATCAGATGCTTTATTAACGGTATTATTAATAGCGCAATTATTGAATTCAGCTTTTAGACTATTTATAAAGTTATTCTGCAACTGTTTTTTAATTTTGTTATTATTGGATACGTTTTGATTATTACAATCATCTGAAACATTACAAATATCATAAGTTGTTTATATATTTTTATAATGATTCATATATGTATGTATGTATATATAAAAAGATATATTCGGCATAATATTTTTAATTAGATTATTTTACTCTCTTACCATTATTATTATTCCCATTAGTACTACATAACATGTTATCAACAGATGATGGTGGTTCTACACTAGATGCCGGTTGAATATATGGTGAAGCAGTTATGCTTTTATTATCATGTTGATCTGTTGGTGTTGGAGCCGGAGTATTTTTATCTATATGATGTTCGAGTGGAGTATTTGGCTGTAAATTTGGTACGGATGTTGGTCCTCTTGGTGATATAGCAGACATCAACTGTAAAATATTTACATATTTTTAATAAAATTAATTTTCAGAGAAAACAAAAAAATATTTTTTTTTTACCTCGGGCGGTGGAACAGATGTTGGTTGCGAACTAGAGAGATGTGGTGACATTGCTGCACTACAAGGAGAACCAACAGATGGTATGGGCATTGAATCACCGATTGAGTTTCTGGAATAACTTGATGTTCCACCAGTATCAACCAAAGAATCTTGATTTGATAATCTATAAAATGTTAACACACAAATATTTTTTTAATATTTTAAGTAAATATATTTTTTTGAAATTTTAATTGCTAGGATCAAATATTAACTTATAATATTAACTTATATGTAAATATAAATATATTAGAGGTAAAAAAAAATTAAAGAAAAGAAATGAAAATTGAATACAACCACAATCACAAAATGATTTTATGATTTTGTTCTTAAAAATCTTTTAAATGAAAGGCAACCAATCATGCATAATTATAAAATGTTCAATTAAAAATGACAGAAAACGATTACTTGTATAAAAAAAAAAAAACAAAAAAAAAACAAATATTTCTGAAACCCAAGTGTTATATAATACTTTTGATCCAATATAATCAATAATAAATGTAAAGAAAAAATATTTCTACTACATAAATATTTTTTATTTCAATTTTTAGAAATGATTAAATCGTATTATTAAATGAAAAAAAAAAATTATAATGAATAATAATAAATCATGTGTTCAATTAACCATTAATGAGCTCAAAATAAATAAGCTTCGATTATTATAATAAATAATATGTTTATATGTAATATCCACCAGAACTGCTCAAATTGTTTTAGAAAATAAAATTTAAATGGTAGTTCAATTGCTTTATGGTATTCCATTTTATATTTGATATACTACATTTTTTTTCATATATTGTGTATTATATTGCATAAACATAACTATGTATTACATCATGAAATAGTTCAATATTGAAAATATGAAAAAAATGACAGTACATGATATATATATATATATATATATATATATGTATATACAAAGTTTTTAAGGTTTTAATTAAAAATTTTATATTTATTTAGAAAATTGTATAAAAATTACCAAAAAATTCTATTTCATTTTATTCAAAACATCTACATTAAAGTATGTACATACGTATATTTGTTTCGTTTCTTAGGCCTACATAATGTACATAGCGAAATTGTATAAGAATAAAAAGTTTGTGCTATACTATAATGGAAATACCATCAATTTTGTATTTATTTTGCATTTCTAGAAAAAATTTGCAAAATAAAAAAGAATTTAAAATAATTTCAATTTTTTTATTAAATAATATCTTATTATTGTCATTGGGTAAACTAAACAAAAAAAGCATGTATAATTTAATACAGAAATGATTTGGTACAGTGACATCTTTATTTGACTGTCTCAATTAAGCATTTAATTGAATTAAAGCTATTTTATCATACCTATTTCTAAAATAAATCAGTGTTTACACATTGTTTACATACATTATTATAAAAAATTTAAAGAATTTCTTTGGTAATATTAATTTATCAATAAATAAATATAAGTTAAAAAAAAAAGAACCTTCAAGCCCAAATAAATTGAAAAATAATCAAAAAATTAAACAAAACAAAAAAAAAACAAAAGAAAATTAAATCTTAATTTTAATGCCGTAGAAACATAATAATGTAGATATAACAAATATATGTATGTCGCATATGTTTTACATATACATATATGTATAAATACAAATAAATCAATATTCGAACATTGAACTATTTATATATAATCAAATTTTAATTTGAAATACATTAAATCCATAAATAGTGTTTAAAAACTTATATTAAAGCAGTTTTTTTTTTGCTTTTTTTATTTTGTTTTTTTTGATAACAAACCTGATTTGCAATTGATTTAAATCAGAAGATAGAGAATTTGAGTTTTTGCCAGTAATTTTGATATTCGATACAATCATATTTGATTGATTGAAATTGGTTGCAATAACTACTTTATTTGATATTGCTTGACAATTGTTATTATTATTATTATTTGAATAATATTTATTAAAATCTTGCTGTTGTTCTTGCAGTTTTTGTTGTTGTTGTTGATGATGTTGTTTTTGTAGTATTATTTGACGATTTTGTTGATTATTACCATCATTATTCATATTATCTTTATTTATATTACGTTTATAACTCATATTATGTTTAATATTAAAATAGTTTGCACGTTTATGAAATGGAATACGATGAAATCGGTAATTTTTATTAAGATCATGTTTGAATACATTATTACTATTGTTATTATTATTATTATTATTATTATTATTATTATTATTATTATTATTATTATTATTATTATTATTATTATTATTATTATTATTATTATTATTATTATTACTATTATTATTATTATTAGAATGATTAATAATATTTTTGTAATTGCTACCACTACTATTGTTAACAATATTACTACTACTAGTATTGTAACAATTTATATTATTATTAGTGTTACTGTTGTTCGCAATTGAATGTGAATTTATTTGATATATAGTACTTGCTAAAGAAGAAGTACATTTATTTAAATTTGAAAGATATTTTTGATTATTATTATTCTTATTATTATTTTTGTTATCATTATTATTTGAAGAAGACTGCAATGTTTGATTTAAAGATGAAACAGTAGTAGTAATATTTGTCGCTGCAATTTGTGAAGAAGAATTACTAAGCGACATTGTTAAACAAGAAGAAGAAGATAAAGTAGAAGATGTGGTAGAAGGTAAACGACTTAATCCGCCATTGGGTTTTTTACATCTGTAAAGATTCGTCCAAAAATTTTGACAAAAAAATGTAAAAAAAAAAAAAAATAAATAAAATAAAGTTAAAAAAAAATTGAAATAAAAATTAAAATTTTTGCAAATATAAATATAGAGATGTAAAATTAACAATTAAGTAAAATATATGCTTTTATAATATCTATTTGTTTATATATTTATTTATTTATATATATGTATGTATATATATACACTGGGGCTTCACTTAATCATTTTGTTTAATAATAAATTATATAATGTTAATATATTAGTATCAAAATATTTTTGGAAATAACAAAACAATGTTGCCAAAGTACAATGTTTTTAATTACATATTTTTTTATACATAAAAAACTGCGTCTATTGGCTATTAAATATATGGGAAATTACAAATAACGTTACTGATAAAACATCATGAATTTCAACATATTTTTATATGTGGAAAAATGTTAATATATTTATTTATTGTCA